TACCTCACATATTGTACTAGACCGGACATTGCCATTGCAGTAAATTTACTGGCTAGACATAGTGCAGCTCCAACAAAACACCATTGGACGGGAGTGAAGAATATCTTCATATATTTGCTTGGTACTAAAGACCTTGGTTTATTATATCAGAATAGTCAAGAGATGACCCTAGTTGGTTATACTAACGCTTGATATCTTTTTGATCCCCATACGCCAGATCACAAATTGTGTTTGTATTTTTATACGATGGAACTACTATTTCATGGAAGTCAACAAAATAGACTTTAGTAGCAACTTCCACTAACCACTCTAAAATAATTGCATATGAAGCCTCACAAGAGTGTGTATGACTTCGTAGAGTGATTAACCATATTCAAACATCACACAGTATTGGTTCATTAGATTCATCAACCTATTATCTATGAGGATAATGGTGTATGTGTTGATCAATATATTAAAAGTAATATCACAAAATATATTGCTCCAAAACTCTTCTTTCCTCATCAAATACAGAAAAATGGAGAACTTGATATTCCGCAAACAAAATCTTGTGACAGTCTTACAAATTTGTTCACTGAGTCTTTATCAATAGTTGTATTTTAAAAATGCAATCATGGCATTGGTATGAGATGACTACGAGATTTGCAAAGTTTAAGGGGATAAAACTCCTAGAACTAAACTTATTAATTATCATTTGATAATTAATATTGTACTCTTTTCTTTATGAGTTTTACAACGGATTTCTCATGTAGGCGTGAATGAGACAATTAATTATACTAACGATATATCAAATTCCTGTTGTTCTCCCAATATTTTTTCATAGAATTTTTTGGAATACATATGCAGTACAAGATCAAAGATTTTTAAAGTTTTCAAGATTAAGAACTACCCCCTCCTTCCCATAATATAAGAGCGTTTTTGACACTATCATGGGACGTAGGGAGTATTAAGAAAATGCAAGACTTTCCAGCACTCAAGATATATAAAGATTCTCAAGACAATGAGGCTTAGAAACAATGTTGTCCAAGGGGGGGGGGTATTAGGAGTCAATTAGCGTTGGACTTAGGGTAATTGGGCAGTCAATAGATTCTTTAGTATAGCATGCCTGGTAATTAGGATCTTGCGTTCCCCCGATGTTGTGTATAGTGTACCGTTGTTGTGTCTCTTGTAAATGATGCCACTACTTGTGATCGATATTGTAAGCGCCTATTCAGGAGATATAAATACCTAAATCAATCTTTTTCTATATCTCTTCACAAAGGCAAGGACTTGTGTGTCCTTCGAGTGGTGGATCAACCTCTCCAACCAAGATGTAGAACTATCGCCAACAATTTGAATTTGGGTAAACAGGTCACCATGTCTTCACCAAGCTTACGGGTTCTATTCTTCAATAGCTTCACTTTCAGCACTTTGTCGTGTTCCAAAGAATTTCTCCCTCTATCCTTCTTCTGTGACTGTTGTGAAGACATTTTAAGTACTTGTCATTTTGTTCCTTATTTCTATTAAGTGTTCTACTCGTTATTCCCTGTGAAGGCTTTATCCTTATTTTATTGTTCAGTTCCATTGCATTTCATTGCTCTTTTTATTGCTTACTAATGTCTACTACACACTTCTATTTTTGTAGACTCTGTTAGGCCTCAAGCATAGAGTTTTGTAGGACAACAATAAATTTCCCTCAAGTGGATGACCTAAGATTTATCAAGCAACAAGAGATGTAGGACGATTGTATTCTCCTCTTAATCAACACTGCAATAAGATACAAGTAATTGTTTGTGTCCCCAACACACGTGGTACAGTTTTCATTGTATAGGTGCACTCGTTCGGCAAAGAGATAGATAAATTTGATGGTAGATAGATAATTTGGATGGTGTTTTTTTGTATTTTTTGAACAATTAAAATAGCAAGGTAATAAGATGGAAATGTGGCCGAAACGAGGTTTGCAATTGTTGGAAACAAGGCCTAGGGTTCTTAGGTTTCATTAGTGTCAACCCTCAACATGATAACTTTGTTAAAATAATGATGTAACCTCACAAAGTTTCTTTTGATTGGATTAATTCCGGAAGAAATCTCATAGGTGCGCAAATAGCAAACCACCTCAAAGTTCTCTTTCTAAATTTAATATATTAAGCCACCCCAAATGTCACCCTGGTAGCCCCAGAGATTATACTACACAAACACCATATGATCTAGTCGTTCAGTCTGTCTAATGAGTCACCCAATGTCTCATGGGTGTCTCCAGGGATTATATTAGACATGCATTTGTAATCTCATTAACTCCTTAAGTTCAAGAATATAACATGAATAAGATTTGATCCATAAAGGTACTTGTCACAATAGGTATATCATACAATTCAACTAATCATCAATGCCCAAGATCGCAATCATGATGGCAATGAGAGAGGGAGAGAGAGAGGGGGGGGGTGACACATCTCTACACCACAAACCCTCATCCTCGAAGGTGGACTACTCCCGGATCGCCATGGGAGCGGCAAGGGTTGATGTAGAGGGTTTTTTTTTTGAAGTACGGCCCTTAACGGCATTTATTCATTCCTCCATTGTACATAGTCTGAGTGTATCTCGTCACTCAGAAATTCGGGGATACTGCAATATTTTAAATAGCGCGCTACAAAATATAGCGAGGCCCTTCTCTAAATGCTACACAAGTTATAGCGGGCTAATAGCGTGCTATATTTCAAAATAGCGTTTGCAAAAAAAATTAAAATATCTAAAAATAAAGTATTTAAGCAACTAATTTTTTCATAGGAGCAAGCAATATATGCATCTGATAGAAGGAGGGAGAAAGCTAGTGGGAGAATCTGATAAAAGGAGTGAGAAAGCTAGTGGTCGTGGGTTGGTTTTGACCTGCTGGGCCTGTTGGGCTGTGCTTATTTCAGTTTTGCACGGTCTACACGTTATAACGTTACAACGTTACAACGTTATAGCGTGTGTAGCGCGCTAATTACGCGATTAGCGCCGTAGCGTCTGATTTTGCCAAAACGTAACGTCTCCCTTCCAAATATGCTATAACCGCGTTATAACGGCGAAACAGCGTGCTATTTAAAATTGGATACAAGAAAGTTACATCGCCCATGCCTAACAGCTGAACATGCCAAGCTAATTTGTGAGCCAGAGCATTGGCTTCTCTACTAATATGATACAACTCGAATCCCTGAAAATATGAGAGATAGACCTTCATCTCTCTGATAATGAGACCCACATCAGACAGGTCTCTTCTATTCTTCCACTCGTTGGCAAAGACTTGACGGTCTGTTTCAACTTGAACGTTGGTCCATCCTTGCTCCATCGCAAACACCATCGCGTCCCGGCACGCCAAAGCTTCCCCTATCAGCGGAGAGGTAGTCCCTGGGTAGTTTCTAAATCTGGCTGCAAGGAAGGAGCCCTGATCATCTCGTGCTATCATCGATCCACCTGCCTCACCCCTGGATACATCAACCGCTGTGTCTGTATTCAGCTTGACAACTCCTTCAGCAGGTGTAGAGGTTGAAGATGAAGATTCTACCCTTTAGCAAAGTGCCAGGCCAGGGCAAAAACGAAGATCGCCTCGAAATGCGAAGTGGGCAGGGAAATAAAACATGTTATTTCCCTGTTCACATAGATCACACCTCAGTTTTGCAATTCTAGCACAAATTAAGTAGCATAAACTGGAAAATTTGTCATGTGCTATGCAACTACCTCGTAGGCTGATACTGGCATCCCAAAATTCACCTTCTTCACTCCAAACATGTTGTACTGGCCGCTTGGCCATGCCCGCAAGTCTCCGACACTTTGTCCTAGATGCCATCGTGCTCCTGACCCAAGACAACGCAAGGCAATCCACCTCCCGCAGTGCATCAGTCACTTACCTAATCGGCACCGAAAGCAAACAAAATCGAACCAAATCAAACGAAATTCTATCCGTAGCACAACATGCCACCACCAATGCCAGATTCGCGCATGAGCCGTGGTCGACGGAGCCACCCCTCATTTCCGATGGAAACTCCCGCAGCCACCGCCGCACGTCGCAGAGGGGGACAGTGGGGAAAGACACAGAAACACGGGAGGGACCCCAAGAAGGGCTCGCCGAAGAGGGACACTCAATCTCGCTAATGGCGCACATGATCCGACCGAGTAAAGAAGGGCTCCATGAAGATGGTGGCGAGGTTCGGCATCTACGACTTGATGGACAACATCAGGGCGGACGACAACAAGATTGTCGTCGTGTCAAGGTGCTGCTGCGGCGGCGAGCTGATCACCGTCGGCCGGCATCGGCTATGCCAAGCCAAAGCTGCTTGTCTCATTCCAATTCTTTCATTTCGTAATTACAATAGATGTGCGCGGCGCATGCAGCAGAATCAGAACAGAGAGCTCAGCTTCCCCATGCTCAATTGCTGCCGAATGTAACACGCTTTCGAGTTTTGAGATACCAACGTGATATAGTACACCACTTGGGCCCTATTCGGTACCGCTCCGCTCCACAACTCCAGGAGCGGAGTTGACGGAGCTGCAGTTCAAATCGAAGGAGTTGCAGTTTCCCCGCTCCACAGATTACGGGCGATTACCAAACAGAGCCTTGATATGCACTTTTTTTTTTGACACCATTTGATATGCACTTTATTATTCAGACGAGGCAGACAATAATACTACTACACTGAGCGTCGGCCCCAAGAATCTAACTGCCAGCTTACAAAATATGTACATCTTCAAGGACTACAGAACCGTAAAATGAACATATTTGCATTGGTACATGTTTGCGAAAACTGAAGACTCCCGCTAGAACGAACTTTCCCGTGTGCCACATTTGACGTCTGCGTGTCACATGCTGCGATATCATGATCAAGGGATAAAGTAAACAGCTCACATCTCAGCCTATCGCAGTCTTCTCAGATCCCAAAGAATGGCTTCCGGAGAACGGCATATGCAGTGAGACATTGGCATGTCGCAAAACCTGGCAAACCCACTCCCGGAACTTCATCTGTTCTTCTCCCTGCCAGCTTAAAGTCTCAGTTCTTGCGCGCGGAATGGTACAGTTCCATGTAGTCCAGAGCAGGCCGGTTCCAGGACCAATCCTGCTCCATGACCCGCTTGCAGAGGGAGTGAAACCAGTCGCGAGCGTCGTACCATGTGGTGATCGCCCTGAAATGGAGCAGGGGGACAGGAGGCATGACTTACGCTTTGTGTGCCGTTACAGTGCATGCAACTCTGGTGGGTTATACTTCTCTTTTCGAAAGAGGACTGGTAGGTTATACTTGCCTGTCGAGAGCATAATCTACGCCATTGCTGTCAGCTCCTTCGAAGCTGAATCCGTTCGGCTCAAGGCCTTGTTCACGGGCCCGATCCTTATCATCGTCCACATCAAAAACGGTATCATAAAGGCCTGCACACAATGCATGGCATGTCTTTTACTGCTAACAAGCGATGCAACACAACAAAATGTCATGGAGATGTCAAGAAATTATAAATACCTCCAGTTTTCCGAACAATTGGGATGGATCCATATCGCATAGCAGTAAGCTGTGTTAAACCACAAGGTTCGAAAATGGAAGGCACAAGAATGAAGTCGGCGCCAGCATATATCTACAACAGGATCATGAATTTTATTTAGTAAAGATAACCCAGTTCTAAACTTCTAATATGTGGGGCCGCTTAAAGAGGACCTGAGACTTACTAAATGTGATAGTGGCTCGTCATAAGTTAAACAAAGCTTCACACGACCATCAAATTCACCATGCAGTTTAGCAGCTAAGTTGCTAAAGTCACCTTGTATGCGATGATCTGGAGCTGAGCCTAGTAAAACCACCTGTTGAAGAAAGACAATATGATTTAGTTTTGACAAGTTGGGCAAAGGCTAAATGCCAAGAAAGAACGCACAACAAGCTTGCAATTAAACATGGGGGGTGTTATCTAGTATAAGCGAAATACAAGACCTGTCCATTGCGTTCAAGGGTTCGATAAATTGCATGTTTGATAAGGTGAATTCCCTTCTGGGCTGTAAGCCGACTGATGATTCCAACTAGAGGGGAATCAGTTTGATGTAATCCAAGCTTCTCCTGCAATGCCCTTTTTGCAGAACTCTTACCCTCAACAACATTCTCAGAAGTATAATGGACCTAAAAAAGTATGACAGAAAAGGTTGAGCTGACAATATCCACAACAGTACTAAGACAGACCTCTCACATTACGTCCAGGCTGATGGTAAATGCATGGCTATATAATCGATGATGATTAGCGTACCGGGATGAAGTTGTCATTATAGGGATCCCAAATATCAGAATCAATTCCATTACGAATGCCATGGAATTTGAAATAATGAGGAGCAATAGAACCATGTCCAGACACTTCCTTCGAATATGTGTACGAAACCTGCAATGGGTGGCCAAAACAGTATAAGAAAACAAGAAATACAATTAAACCATATGTTGAATGATCTGCTTTATCACAGGGATAAAGCAAAACAAAGATACTCACAGTTGTAGCCTTATCACAATGTGCCATTGCTTTGCCGATGTGATGTACCCCAAATTCAAGATTGTGGATGGTAAATACAACCCGACCATTTGGCAGCCCATTATGAACATACTGTTGCTTGTACAGCCAAGCAACTGGAGCACTTGACCAATCATGACAGTGTATGATATCCTGTTAGGATGACAACACTTGAGCAATATGAAAAGTCGAGAGGCGGGGAATACAAGCGAGAAAGTAACAGCATGGAATGGCTTGATGATGTACTTGCACGGTCTAACAAATGGACTAGCTAAAACGCCACAGGAGAAGACCGATATAAGTAATATAACCCCAATGCTGTGATAGATAGCTTTGTACTTACTGGAGAAGAGCCACTCTGGAGAAGAAACTCCAGGGCAGAATGACAAAAGAAGCCAAATCTACTTTCATCGTTCTTTCCATAGACACATCCAACCCAAAACATCCTGCAACAAGAAATGTCAAAACAATCCTCTTTTATGATGCTTTTACTTGAACGAAATTGCAAAGCTTATTCCCAGATTTATGGTTCACATTGATGGAATTTCATTCAATTACTAACAGAAGTAAACATTTATGTTTTGCCTGAAGCCTCTACACATCACATCTCGTCTGTCTGCGTACTAGCATTGCAACTTGCTACAATTCAGTTCTGAATACAAGTTGAAAACAAGAATACTTAATTAATATGGATGCCAACTCTATAGCCATGCTCAACTCACTGGAATAACCAGTATAGCAAAGAGAAGACATCAATACAAAATAATAACTAAGGTGTAAGTAAAAAGAAGCAATCAAACAACCGTTTTCATCTCATAGTTAGTGTGACAAGCAGTGGCAGAGCTTGAGCAAAACTTAAGAGGGGGCCATAACTTAAAGGGGAACAAATTAGTAGGAAAGGAGGGACTAATCTCTAGTTGAAACACTAGTTAGGGCCAAACCTAGCATGCTCTTTAATGAATGCAAAAATTAAGGGGGGCCATGGCCCCTGTTGGTGTACTGGTCTTAACATGAGGTCAAACACAGGATACTCATGATAAAACAAGGAATCGTTAACAAAGTAGAATATGAAATGTAAACAAAATAACAACTGATAAATAGTAGTAGTATATATTGGTCAAATATGGGGCATAAGCATACCCATTCTGCGGTTCCAAGAAATAAACAGAGATGCCTTCAACCTTTCCAAACCATATTTTTATCTCTGTACCACCCCAAGTAAAACTTTGACGGCAATGTAAATCCTTCACCTGCAACGAAAGAAAGGCAGCTTAATGATGAAAAATAACTATACTAACAAACACCACTCCCACCTATCAGGCAAGCAGATCAAACATTGTCAACAAAGACGAAAATAGTAGTAAAACTAAATACTGCTACAGGTAAATATACAGCAAACAAAGCAAAATAAATCATGTTTTGAAGAGACGTACTTCGGTGCTCTATTCAAAAATAAGAGGTACTCCCGTGCTCTATACAGCAAACAAAGCAAAATAAATCTTCGGTGATCTATTCAGAAATGAGAGAGCAAATTTTAAAGCATGTTGGGATTTGCAACCACCAACTGAGTTACTAAGAGTTGCTTAAATATCTACAGAATTCAGTTTTTTTGGAAATCTTTGAGACTCCAAAATCTCTAGTACAGTTATGAAAAGGACATACACACATAGTGCCACGGTATAATTGTGTGCTATTATACTAGTGTAACTTAGTAACAGGGCCACTATAAGACAAAAAGAAAAGGAAGACACCAGATAAAGTGCAGTGTACAACTTACATTGCTTAGGTTTAAACAGTCATACTTTGGAAAAATAACCTCAACCTTGTGGCCTAAATCTTGAATAGCTCGTGAAAGACTAGTAACAACATCACCGAGGCCCCCGACCTGTGACAACATTGGTCATTGTTGAGCATGTCATCATTCTGTGTACCCAAAGAAGAAGGTAGGAAGTATGTTTACCTTTGCAATAGGAGCCATTTCTACTGCAATGTGCACAATATGCATAGGTGGTTCCTTTGCCATGGAATCAGACACAGGAATATGATAGTCCATCCCATCCCGGTTGTCATATATCCCACCTTCTTCCGATTCAGAGAAAACAAAGTCCATCATATATGCATCCAAAGGAACCCTAACTGGAAAATGGACAGAACGGTTAAAAGGGATGCAAAAGGAGAAAATTCCATGATAATACGAAGATTATTTACAGGTTAATTGAAAGCGCAGATTGAACTACTATCATAAATACTGGCAACAAAATGATAGTCCAAAAATAAGTTGTAAAAAGAAGCAGCACTGAGTTTCACATAAATTTGATATGTTGGAAGAGGCTCTGTTTTACTTATATCAGAATCTGCATAAAAAAGGGCAGCCCGGTGCACGTAGCTCCCGCTTGCACAGGGTCCGGGGAAGGGTCCGACCACTTTGGGTCTATTGTACGCAGCCTTTCCCTACATATCTGCAAGAGGCTATTTCCAGGACTCAAACATCTGTATGAGATATTTTTTTCTGGTAAATGAGGAGCAAGTAGTAGTTTGAGCTCTTCTGGCATAAGTCTAGAGAGATTCATAGGAGCATATCCGTTACAAAAGTACGAATCCAGCAAGTAGCTTTGGGCAGAAAATATTCTGGGGGATGGATCTAATGGTACTTGATTGTGTATTAATAAAATGCATCAAAGAACCAAGATCAACGGTCATCATTGCTATTCTCTGGAATATCTGGAAAAGAAGAAATGCAAAAGTTTTTAGGCAGGATTTGCAACCTATCCACCTCATCGCCCGCTCAGCTGCAGAAGACCTCATGCTTTGGTCCAATAGATGCTCCAATGAGCAGGCCGTGAACCTTCTGCGTGATTGGTGTACTATGTTGTTCCACTTATCTATGAGATTGTAACCCAACTATTTTTGTAATCTCTCCCTCCCCCAACTTTCAACCTTTGTAAATGTACTCTATCTTATATGAAATGGTTCAGGCCGGCGTAAGCCCGCCGTAGGCCCGTCAAAAAAAATGCATCAAAGAAAGGTCACTGACAAGGATCCACACCTGTAGCTTGTAAGTGTGAACCATTTTCTGCATTCACCATCTTTTGGGGCGGCAAAGGACCACTTGGATGAGTCCAACGGTTAAAGGAACATCTGAACCAAACTTCTGGACTTCCATTCAGTACTGTGTTAGAAGGATTGTATAGAACATCAACTGTGGTTCCTGCACGTACTTCAAGTGGCTCAGTATACACAATGTGTTTCTGTGAGAGAAGAAACTCTCTCATAGTCTTCTCCTTCATGTCAGCTTTCATCCTTGCAGTTATCTCAGCCTATTGAAACCAAACAAAAGGTAAATACCACAAGATCTTCCGTCGAAAGATGCTCTCTTTTTTTGCTTAATAAGTAGCCAAAGTACAAATTGGTATAATGCTCCTACAGATATGCATTAATTCTCTTGAACTAACCTTTCTCCGACAAGCATCCTCCTTTTCTTTTCTTTCTCGCTGAAGCCTTTCAAATATCCTACGTTCTTCTTCCACCCAAAACAAGTCATCGGATATGCTCTTTGAAACGGCAGCATGAAAATCTTGCTTCCCATTGTTATCATACTTGCTTGCGTTCCCAGGTGATCCATCAGCAAAAACCCAGTCCAACACCAATGCGCTTTCAGGTAGAGTAACTTTTTTTTTGCGGGAGTAAAGTAAAGTGTAAGCTATATGTATGATAAGCAAAAGGAGCAAGTAAAGAAACATATGAAATTGGATCTTAAAACTCATTCACGAGAAAACATGTATTTAAGGAAAGAAACATTAGTATGTAATTTAGAGGGATAAAAAAAGCCCAAGTTACCATGCTTGTTTTATGCCAATGTCATGATAAAATGGCTGTGTTCGGATAATATGAATCCTAATTCCTAAGAGATAAAATGTGTGAATTAACATACCATTTGCATACCACCAATCACCATCCTTTTCTTCAGATTTGACTAGTCTCTCAACAATAGAGGGCCCATCAGTCCAGTTATTGTAACCCCCATGCAACCAAATCTCATTTTTATGCTTTAGTGGTCTCGAGCTTCGATTATAGTACAATCTGACCCTATCCCCTCCTTTGTATGTGCTAGGCTGTATATACCATAGATTATCGGCATATCTGCTGGCTAAACCCAACACATGCTGCAATTTATTCCTCGTCGTCTCAACCTCAGCTTTTGCCTGTGCCCTGTCAGCCTCCATTGCGGCCCTTTCTTCCTCCTTCCGGCGCTCCTCCTCGGCTTGTCTTTCCCTTTCAGCTTCTTCTGCAGCAAGCCTTTCAAGTTCCCTTTGCTTTTCTTCAAGCAAGAAGTCCTCAAATGAGTGTTCATCAATGTCACTTTCTATATGCAGGACGAAATCATTATAACTGTTGTTTTCATAGACAGTGTCACCATTAAAGAACACAAAGTCTAATCTGTATGCCTGCTTGGGTAGGTAGAGCTTACAACACCACCAATCCCCTGTTAATTCACTTCTATGCAATTTTTCAGTGAAATGGTTCCATCTCCAACCATTGAATGCCCCTTTGATAAGGATATCAGGCTCATTTGCTAAGGCCGACATGCTACGATTTAAGTAAAGATCAATAACTGAATCAGCTTCCACTAATTCAGGAAAAACAAAACACTTATTCCCAATCGAATAATTTTTATCTGCAAGCTCTTCAAGCCTTCGCTTTAGTGCTTGAGGATCAACATCCATCTTTACCTGTTCTTGCATCTCTGGTTCATGTTGTTCTTCATCCTCTGTTACCCTCAGTTCATCACCAGCAACCAATGGCTCTTCATTGGCATGTTTCCTTGCCCCAACGCCATCTTCTGATGAAGAATGTTTTCTTGCCACGAGATTCTTGCTGGCTATCTCCTCTACTACCGCTTCAGTGATATCCTGTTCGCTGGTGGTTTGTTCTGTTGTATCTTCTCTGGTGACAGCAACAACTGACTGGCTTTGTTCAGGAACATCAACAGCTGATATGTCTTGCTCATCGGAAGTAATTACCGATTTGTCTTGTTCATGAACACCAATAATTGATTGGTCCTGTCCTTGGGTGCTAGCACCCACCAGTGCACTTATTCTGACACGGTACCCCTCAAGTTCTCTGTCAATTGACTCAACATCCATGGAGGTGGAAGATGCTGATGACTGCTTCTGGTCAGCCTCTTCTTCAGTCTCAGATTCATCTACTACCTCCAGCACCACGCTGCTAGAAACATTTCCTGAGAAGTCAACCTCAGATGATTCATCTGCGGTACTTGTGTGCTCTGTTGCTTCATTAACAGACTCAGCATCCATGGATGTGGAAGACAATGCAGGAGGCTGCTTTTGGTCAACCTCTTCCTCGTTCACACCCTTCAGCTCCACGCTGCTAGAAACATTTCCTGAGAATTCCACCTCATATTCTTCCTCTGCGGTACTTGTCTGCTCTGCTGTGTCACTACTGAGCGTCCCATTGCTTGCGCCAAGATCACCGTCTTCATCAGCGCTGCTATGTTCAGTCTTCTTCGTGGAGGTCCAAGATTCGGCAGAAGGTCTTGGAGCATATTCTCTGGAGGCAGTGCCCTTGGGCTTAGGAGCTGATGATCTCCTCGGATTCCTCTTGGGATAATCTGAATAATGCAATGTTATGAGAAGATGAGGTAAGCTGTATCGCCGGAGTACTCAAACGCTGACTTGTAACAAAATCAATCCTCGAACCTGAGCTTGCTACCATGCACCGAACGAGCCTGCTTCTTGTAAATCTGCTGCACTTGACGATAGACTGGAAAAGAAGAGAGAACGGTGTGGAACTGTAAATAAAGATCACTTGACTGAAATGTTGTAATAGCACATTATTTGTCACTGAACTAACTGTCCGGCCGAAGCACCCCAACAAATGCCCCAGGTTAAGAACCCCCTCCCTCGATTGCAGATAGCAGACCAGCCAAACCAAAAAAAAATGCTTGATAGAAGCGCAAAACTGTCGTAAAGAACACACCCAAGATGCAGAGATGGTACAACACCCACTGAAACCAAGTGCGCGCACAAATAACGCCTCAGATACCAGGCAATGGCAAGACGCACGGCAGGCCTGAACACCAATCGGATTTCTCCCGACCAAAAATGGGGCCAGAAAAACGCGAGCCAGTACGGACCAGAGAAGAGAAGACGGACCTGCGCGAGGCAAGGGACGGCGGCGGCGCTGGCAGGCCGCACGAGGAGCACCGGGCGGCTCCGGGAGCAGAGCGGGCTCTGCGCCCGGAGAGCCATCTCCATTGCCGAGGGAAAATCAAAACCCGACCCCCTCCGCTGATCTCTCCCCCCTCTCTCCCTCCCTCCCTCCACGAAGCTGACCGACCCCCTTCCTTGTTTCTTTTTTCCTGGCCTCTAAAATCTCGCGTCGGAATGCGCAGCCGTAATGACTGTCTGCACACACACACACACACACACACACGTCCCCTCGATCGAAAGCGATAGTGTGCTTTCCCGTGTGTGCGCTTTGTGTGTGGCCAAAAACTACGCCTCGTATTATTTTCGTGCGGGAAATACATGTGGACGGACGCAAGATGGGGGCTTCTCGGATCGGCTGCGCGCGGTCGTCCCCACACGACCTCTGTGGGCCCGGAGCTCGCGGTGTGGACGGCTGTTATTTGTCGGGAGGGCAACGTGGTCCAGGGATGGATGGGCGGACGACTCGTGTAGCATCTGCATCTGCCTTCTCAGCTCTGCTGGAACATTCGGTGTTTTCTCTTCTTCTTTTTTTGCATGAGAAATCTTTTCGAAGGATGCATGAGGGCCGCATGTGAAGACGTCGCAAAAATGACCATCTTCATACTTAAGCTGGAGGCGTCTAAGCTTTATTAATTGCAAACCCCTTTTACTCCACCGATCTAGCCTACGCATCACTCACCTGCTTTAAGAATCAGCAAGAAACCAAGCATGTGGTCTCCACCGTGCAAGCCCATGTCTGTGTGCAACCAGGCACATGGATACACAGACGGCACGACCAAGCACTAAACCGTGTACCAGGCCGCGTACTGATCCATTCTGCCTAGTTTTTTTTTTTTTGAGGGATTCATTCTGCCTACTGTAGTTTTTTTTAGAAGGCCTACAGTAGTTTGTAACATGTGAAGAAAAGGATCCGATGATGACTCACCTTTGTTCTCAATCCCGCAGCCCAAGGCCCGTCCGTGATCCGCGCGTACGAGCTGTGGTCGGTTAACTGATTGGCCTTATCCTCTCTAGTTATTAATAGTAAAATAGTTGCATGCAAAGTGAACTTGAGGAAAACATCACAGCGCCACAGAGCCTAGCTCACCGTCACCAGTAACAATCTACTCTTAGACCGTTGATGGAGATCTAGACAGAAAAAAACAGACTAAAAGAAATGGTTGTGAGTAGACGGAACAGGCATCATACATTGAGAGATGCAGTCAATGCTGAGTTGCTGACGCCGATTGCTGAAGCGATTCTCATTTTTCACATCAACTGCAGAACACGCTCAGTTCAGCGCTAGTTATTTGCCATCAGTCTATATATTGGTGGATTCTCTTTAGATGGGTACCAACTAGTGTACCAAGGATGCATGCTCTCGCGAGGTCCTGCGCCTGCGGTGCAAAATGGATTTTAGTAAGACATCAGGGAATCAACAACTTATAACAGTCCAATACTTCGCGCCAAACATCACAGAAGCTTGCTCGTCAGTAACAATGTACTTTTTTTAGCCCAATGATGTTGTGCAGCTAGGAAAAGGATTTACCAAAACCAACTGCAACTGCAGCAGAAAAAAAAGTACTATATCTGATTGCTCCTCAAAAAAGAGTTTAACAACTTGACTGTTTTTGAATCTGGTAAAGAGATCAAGACATCTTCCAAGGGCGAAACCGATGCATAGACTCGAGGTGATAATAGAAACTACAAATACACAGTGAAATACTCCCTCTGTTCCTAAATATAAGACGTTTTGGCAGTTCAATTTGAGCGTTTACTCTGCCAGGTCACAAAGAAATCATTATGAAAGGACAAACCAAGTCAATATTGACATGGATTGCTGATGCGGCTCTCGATTCAAGCCAACTCTGGGACACAGTTAGTTCAGCCTTACCTATTTCCAATAGGATTAGTTCACTACGTCTGATACTCATAAATTTGCAGCAACAATTATTTGGATGAGAAAGTTTATACACCTCAGGAGGATAACACCAGTTTGCTGTTTAGTGTATATTTTTTCCACTATTGTCAGTTCCAGAATGCAAAATCACTTGATATACAAAACAATCCCATGGGCCATGAAACTTCTTTCAGAACATGCAAGTTTAGCTATAGGATTGCATGGTAATAAGAAAACAGATTAATCGGTCAAGAATTTAATGAGATAAGATAAGCAAATAAATGGAGGTGGGGCCCCTTTTCAGGTGACCAATCGTAATTCCAGAACTAAATGCAAATTACATCTGGCATTATCAGGCATGCTTTTATGCCTTCATAGTTTAGCAGATACACTAACAAGAAAATTAGATAAATTCTTATTAAGTGAAGATCAGGGCAGAAAAATACCACAGAACGGTCAGGTGACACAATGGAGCAAGCACAAAATGGCTAAGTTAGGATGCCCAAGTATATTTATTAAGTACAATCCGAGTAAAATAAATGCATGCAAATAATAGTATAGTATTTCAACACGGAACCATGAATTCGGCATGAACAATATGCTTGAGAACAATACAAGGGCATAACTGTATATGTGGTCCACAAGCATTAACAACATCAGAACAAGGCATTGTAAGAGTGCTCAACTATAGAATATAAATTCTCAAGTCAGTTTCATGACATCCCTGTTCTAACATTTTTAAGATATATGAAAACTGATACTTCAGATTTGTTGATATTTTCATATTGCAGACATTACTTACAGGCAATATTCTCACAACATCATCAGTGCCACTCAATAGGATGTGGTATAGACTACCAACAATCCAGCATAGGAAAATAAATTAGTAACAGAAATTAGATAGGCATGAAGCAGTTCGTACCAGAGAAATGCTCGAATTTCACTACATTTGCACCTCAAAGAAAATTCTCTTAGGAGTGATGCCAATAATCCAAGACCAAACTACTAATTTGGCTGCCAAAAACAATCAGCAAGCGTCATGTAATTCAAATGGACTACTATGACAGCAAATGGACACATGATTCAGAAGGTGCAGAAGTTTCTGGATATCTATGTCAGCCAAAATAAGCACTAATGAAACAGTAGAACCAATTAAATGATAGCTCAACATGGTACTCCCTCCGTTCCTAAATATAAGTCTTTTTAGATATTTCAACAAGTGACTACATACGGAGCAAAATGAGTGAATGTACACTCTAAAATATGTCTACATACATCCGTATGTTGTAGTCTATTTGAAATGTCTAAAAAGACTTATATTTAGGAACGGAGGGAGTATTATTTAAAAACTTGCTGGTCACTAATTTTAGTCAACTATAAACTGAATAGCGTGGGTAAATAAACATAAAAATAGGATTATTCATTATTGGCCAGGGTTAGCACTGAAATGAAAGTTGGCCTATCCAAACGAAAATGAATAAAGAAACTACAACAGCCAGTCTGATACGAAACATGCTACATGCCCCAACACAATACTGAAACGACATCAAGGATAAGAGTTATGGGGGTATAGGAAAACCACACAACACATAGTCCAGCATGATTAGCAAGTGATACATTAGTCACCTTTGTTTGGATCAAGCATGATAGCTTTTAATGATGATTGCAATTGAAGATGCTCGAAGCTGAGCAAATATGCCTAGATGAAATGTACATCTATTGCAGAAAAAGAAGATAAAACAGCGCAATAATGTCAAAAATCAGAAATTATTGGGCAATTAAGAAGATGCCGAATCCAGCAACATAAGGAAATTAAGACGTAGTGTTTCCTAACCAACACTGTCGGCATGAACTGTTGAATTTAGCATAAGCCAGAATAGGCTGTGCTACTGAACTACCAACGATAAGATTCATGTAATGTAAACCGAAAGAAGTTGAACTAGAGTAAACAACAAAATTTCCATTTCTGAAAGTACAATAACATTCTAACTACTCCGTTGATCAATGAAATCAGTCAATAGGCAATTGAATTCCCTTGCACTACATACATATGCCAAATAAGAAGCTCAGAACAGAATGTCTTAAATTCACAAATCACCCAATACTACATCAAAGTAGGAAAGCAGAACAAATTGGCACTCATCTTCCTCCTTTGTGCAGTTATTCAGCAATACCAGAAGACAACAGTGACCAGTAACATAGGGAAATTAAGATGTTAAGTGCATTTCTTAACATATACTGATCGAAAACATAGCCCTATGCAGTAGTGGAACACAATTGAAGATACAAGTCATAGGGGTATAGGGCAAGCATAATTCAACATGATTAGCAAGAGATGAGTTAGTCACCTTTGCTCAGACATCAAGCATGATAGCTTGATCATCAAAGAGATGTTGAATTATGATTGCAGTTGAAGATGCTCGAAGCTGAGCAAATATGACAAGATGATCTGTGTAGCAAAAAAGGAGGATAAGGAAGGTAACAATGTAACAACCCAGCAATGATTGGGCTAGACCAGATGGTGCCGATGTCCAACAACATATGAAACCTAAGATGTATAGTGTTTCTTAACAAATACTGTTGGCATGAACTGTCAAAAATTATCATGAGCATCAATAGGTCAAAAATTACCATAAGCAACCTAACTGTATTGCAGAAACGGCATTAACTGCTAACAGAAAGATTTATGTAATCAAAATCACAAGGTTGAACAAGAGTTAAACTGCTTACAGCAAGATTCATGTAATCAACATCAACCCACTTGAACTAGAGTTGAACTGCTAACGGCAAGATTCATGTAATCTAAATCAACCGAGTTGAACTGCTAACAGCAAGATTCATGTAATATAAAACAAGCAAGTTTAACAAGAGTTAAATGCTGACAGTATGTAATCTACATCAACCAAGTTGAACTAGTCTTTCTTAACCAATAATACTGTCGGCATGAACTGCTAACTGCAAGATTCAAGTAATCTGAATCAACAAAATTGAACTAGAGTTGAAAAAATACATACCATTTCTAAAAGGTTAACCAGATATTGATGATGTCCATTCATCACTAGATACACATCTGACAAGCAACTGAATTCCCCTAGTACTGCATGTATGTGCCTACTAGAGAGCCCAGAACAAAATATCCCGAATGAATTCACAGATCACCCAATAG